ATTGTCCTGACCCAGATGCAGGACTTTACACTTGGGTTTTAATGCTATTGCACACCTGTTTTCTAAAGGAGAAAAAAATGTCCATTTTCTACCACCCATCAAAAATAAGAAACCTATAAGTAGCATTCATAAGTATTAAATGCATATATATAATATTCAATGAGTATTGATTAGCTGCATCTTTTTTTCCCTCTATTTTTGTGTTTATCTGGCTGTGTTTTATATTGATTTTTCATCTATGATCTTTATGCAAAAGCATTTTGAGTCTGACATTTTAAATGTAGATTTATTTGTAATCTTTTCATTCTCCAAGTTCTAATTTCTCCACCATTTTTACCTGTCCTATCCCTACTAATATACTGATGCACATGATTGCAAATGAACAATCTTGTATACTTGGCACTGTTTGTCACTGTGCTTACTCACCTACATATTTATCACTTGGTTACAAAGTAGATGTTTGAAGAAGATATCCAAGTCAATTATTAGTAATAATGACAATTTGCAGTGTTTCCTTCATTTTCCCCAGCTTCATGTGCTTTAAGTCTTCCCTAACATTTACCCATTTCCAAACCGTGGAAACCTAATTTCAACATCATTCTTGTGTTTTGGGTGGGGAAAAAATGTCAAAGCACCATAGGCCTCAGCTGGCAAAGTCCAGATGCTCTCCAGGTCACAGAGAGAAGCATTATCAGCTATGTGCCTGCGTTAATGAAATCATGTAGTATCGGGATTTCAGGGCCCAGCTCTGCCCTCTGCCCCATCCAGCATTTCCTTTGACCTCGAGGGAGACGTGATTCAAAAACAAAACCTGACCTATGTTCCTGAAGCAGTGTAAGGTATTGTTTGCACTTTGTTGACCTCTGAAAGCCCAGTGCCAAACCTAAAAGAAAAATTCAGCCACCTGAAATTGAATTTAGCCACATTTAGGCACGAAAATTCTTCAGTTCAAAATAACTTTGCAAGAAAGCCACCCAACCCTAATGAACATAAGATCACAAAATGCCTCTTTGGTTTTCGTCCCAAATGTCCACAAGTGCTTTCAGTGTTATAGGAACTCAAAACTGTCCTGGTCTGAGCAACAAACCAGCCCGGTTTTGGACCGGCTTCGGGCAACAAACTGAGCTCAGAAGCCCTCCCCTTCCCCACAAAGTCAAATTTTGCAAATATACGCAATACTACCAAATGATGACAGCATAAAAAACAGTACTGGTGCACAAGGGGACTGCTTAGTGAGAATTCACATAAGGCAGGAATCATTGTTCAGCCTTTTAATTATTAAAAAAAACCACACCCCAAAAAAAACCCCAAACAAAAAGTACAGGTTCAGCTCCTTTTGCTACCTGAGGAGGCTACAGCCTCCCACTGTCCTACAAGTCCTGCTGTCTCCCCCTCTGTGAGGGACTGGTCAAAAGTAAAGTGACTTTGGAGTGGAAGCCTTCTTGCTGAACTACTGCAAGGGAAGAAGGAAAATCCATGGGATCAGAAAGGCAGTATAGAAGGCTGTACCACAGAGAAGGCCTCAACTGAGACTTGGTCTCGAGCTGGCAGCATGAATAAAGCTCTTGTGCAGAAAGGTGCAAAGGTACCCTTGTATCCACTGCTGAGCTCTAAGCCATTCTCTCCTGGGTATGGTGTTGGTTTTTTACTTGCTCTTCTGAAGTGCCCAATTCTGAACAGAGGCATTGGGGTACTTAATTAGGATGCTGAGTCCTTTGCAGGACTTCTCTACTGCTGTTATTCTGACAGGTCGTGAGCAGGAATACCACACTTGAAGAAAACAAACCGGAAAACAGCATTTGCAAATGTCAAGAAACAATGTACCATCAGCTGGAACAAATAAACTTACAAAACCAAATTTCACAGAAAGCTTTGCAGAAACATCAGGTGAAGCTTTTCTCCTGGCGGTTCAGCTGTGGAAGCAGCAGCACACCGAGTTCCTCCTGGCTGTGCTGAAGGACCCAGTGCCTGCTGGCTACCAAAACTCCACAGAATGAGAACATTTCCCCCCGCCGAGAAGGTTCAGAGGCAGCAGCAGAAGAGGAGCAGAGGTGACAGAAAACCTACTCTGTGACCCCTTATAATTCCCCCCACCCCTTTCTCCCCTGCAACTGTTTCTGGAAGAGCACCCCATCCTCGTGAAGATGTGGGCAGTGAAGCCTGGACTAAGAATGGGTTCGTGTCCCTTGCTCCCCGCCCAGGGAAGCACAGGGCCTGGCCCCAGGGCCTGGCACAGGGCCCAGCTCTCCTTGGCAGCTCCCGGGCTCCAGGCCCTGCTGCTCAATCTGCAGCCTCTGCGGCCTCCTGGAGAGCTGCTGGTGTGCAGGAGGGAGCAGAGCAACAAAAACCCTCAGGTTTTCTGAGGCCCTTATGGATGTAGAGTGCTTTTCCTCTCCGCAGCAAATTCGGTTTTGTTCGGAGTTACATACTAGTAATGAAATCTAGTTTTATAGGTAGTACAGCAACACTGCTGGTTTGTAAAAGACATCAAAAGGAGTATAAGAGTGGTATCACATGGCCATGTCAAGTATGTGTTCATCCCAGCACTGATAATTAACTAGTGCCCAGTAAAAATATTTTAATAAGCTGAAAAGTGACTTAATTCCTCTATATTTATTAGCTATACGTGGACTGGAAGAGGAAAAAAAAAAAGTTGAAACTTAAGGATTGGCTTATGATTTATGATAAGGCTGTAAATCTCTGTGCAAAAAGGAGAGGAGATCAAAGGGAATGACACCCCATTATGAATCCTGAGGCAGCCTGAAGACTTCATATCTTGTTTCTTAGCACGACAAAAAATTTGAGCTTGAAATGGAAAAAGATAAAGCAGTCTCCTCCAATTGAATCATCAGCAGCAGCTCTGGAGCTGAGTTACTATGGCAATGGCAGCACTGCTGCACAGCTTCTTCTTACTCTTTCTACTGGTACAGCAGCTCTGCAAATGTACGTGGGAAATTTCCACCGCACTCGGGCCACGTGTGGCTTGCAGGAGAAGCCCATGGTCTCAGGTGCCCTGGTTTCTACTGAACGGAAGAGCAAATTTGTGTCATTAAAATATGTGATTTGCAATTTTCTGTTTTCCATGGAAACAGTCTTGGAGCAGTAGAAAAAGGTCTAGGATTCTTCCTGCTCTTTTGTGCCTCAGGAAGGTATGTTCCAGTGCTTAGGAGATAGAAGCATGCAGCATTTTTAATACAGGAATTTTAAGCATTTTTTTCAGCTCTAACTATCTCACTTCTTTGAATTATAGATATCTTGACATTGCCAAGGGAGGATGGTATCATCTTTTTGGCAGAGTATAGCTTGGAGCTCTACATAAGTAATGAATCTAATCCTGATGCCAGGTTAATAAATTAGTAATTATAACTCTTTGTATAGGCAACAATCAGTGTGTCAGTACTCACCAGTGTCCTCTTTCCTCTTCCAGGACTAGATGAATACATCACCTTTCCTATTACTGATGGTATCTTCTCTGCACAGCACATAAAAGACACATTTGCTCTTAATTATTTTTGAGACAGTATTTAATATTTACGCTTTAATAGCAAACAGAAGTTCTCAACAGGAACTGGGGCCCTTTGTAGGCAGCTTACATGCAAAGGAAATCTTTGCCCCAAAATACTATTGCTGAAAGTACCGTTTCTGCAAGTTCACTAAGTCCTATAAGCAGACATTTATGTGGAACGTCAGATGAGCTCCACAAGAAGAATTTCATCATCCTTTTTGTGGAGAAGGATGGCCTTTTCACCCATTGTGTGGATATGCACACAGCCCAGACTGCGGTCCCGCTAATACATGCATGTCTTTTAAGTAGGCGCGCTCTGGGGAGCAGATGAACGAGATTAACACATGTGCATTAATCAATAGGAGGGCCAACAACAATTATGGCGATGAAAGGCAAGAGACACAACTGAATTTACTAGGCAATGTATTGACTGAGAATAAGTAACTTTTTGGGTCCGTACGTGTTCCATGAAAAGCTGTTATGGAATAACGGGGGGGCAGAAAGCATCTGATGCATTTTGCTATTTATATAGCTGTACGTCCAGCGTATTTGCCTGGGTAACATCTGCCCTCTGCTACCTATCTGGTTTGGTGCCTCAGCCTGAAAATCTGTGACAACACACCAACAGACAGACAGACAGACAGAGACATACACACAGACAGACACATACTCACACACACACACAGCCTGCACTCAGGCCTCCCCAGATCTTAACATCTGGATGCCCCTTACAACCTTCCTCGCCCGGGGGCGGGCAGGGAGCTGCCAGCGGTGCGGCGGGGGGTGCGGATGCCGCCCGGGGGATGCCCAGCCGGGCAGGGGGATGCTCCCCCCGTCCCTCCCCGTCCCCCCCGCACCTGCCCGGCGCCCTTGGGGCGGGCGGCAGGGATGGCCCCGGTGGCGGCGGGGCCGGCGGCGGCACCACGTGTCGGGGCGGGGA